ATGTTTAATTTATAGGAGAGCTACAGCTAATGTTATACCATGAAAAATCTACAGGTGACCAAAAAAGAAATCTTTAGATCAAATCTGGAAAGCTATTTTAGCAAGTGTTCCATTTAAAACCAACACACTACTTAACAGGGAGCGTGATAATTATGAAAATTATTTTTAGTAGGCGAGGTTCCTGAAGTTATCTGCATGTCAAAACTTGAAACTTCTTAATATGAGCCCCACTTCAACTTTGAGCTCAGGTTTTAAAATTATGGAGAATGCAAAATTAAGATTTTTGAGGACATATTTTATCATATGTTACATCATGTTATACAGGTCAAATCATTTGTTCAGCTTTACTGAACAATCATTAATCACCAGTGATGACAAAACAGGGAGTTGCTACTGGAAAAATAAAGATAAATATGATATACATGAAAAGGTTTTTTTGTTGTGGGTGGAGTTAAGGAAAGCTGCACAGAAGAAAATATATTTGAATTTCCTCTTCAAAGCTGAGTAATGCAATGTTGTTGAATTAAAATTAGAATAGGGGCTCAGGTAGAATTTACTGAATGTCCAGGGGACAGGTGTGAAACAACTTGCTGAGTTCAGAGGATTATGGATAATTTGATAAAAATGGATTGCAGGAAAAAAGACAAAAACGGGATGAAGGAAGCTAGAAGATAAGACCTATGGAGGTTTTGGACTTTAACTCTAGAAAATGGAAAATTATGGAAACACAGTAATATGATTCCTTCTCTGCTGCTGGGAGATCACGGTTAGTGATGTGGTGGTTAGATTGGAAGAGAACAGATTGAAGGGAGGGAGAATAAGGGCATTATTCACTAAGAATCTCCAGGGTTAGTTTCAATTATCTTTGCGGATATTTGTGTATAAATACTTAGGTGCTTTTTGTTTCTGTCTCTATATTATGATCTTGCTGAGAGAGATCATATTTGGATGTTCCTCCTATATTCAACAACTCATTCTGTAGCAGATCCTTAGGAAATATTTTTTGAATTACTCTTGTTGAAAACTGAGCAGAAAGAAAACAAAGCAACGCTAATTTTTGTGCTCCATTACAATGTACTTTGAACTCTTGAACTGCAGTGGAGTGAAGAGCTTTGTAAACACTGAGAAAGCTTCCCTGCTGCTCCAACCTGGTCATGAGCCTAATAACTGTGCTCTTTGCTGGAGCACTGTAGTTAGTGATTAATATCGTGTCTAAGGTTTAAATGACCATAGGTTTTCCTTCATACGGTGAAGAAAATACTAAAACCAAGAGGAATATAATGATGGCAGCTTCAATTAGTCACTTAGAGGAGGGAAAAGAGAAAGCATGTAGGTATTTTCAACATGAGCTGACTGTTCTTTACATTTTGTAACATTGTTTTATTCACTGGGGATAGATGTGGGTTTTTAAATGAAAGAAACATATATCTTAAATTATAATCAGGGTAACCTTTTTACTTTTAATGAACTACTCAAATTAATATAGAACCAATTTAGTCAAAAGTTAGAAGCACAGAATGCCTGTGTCCTGTCTCCCTGACAACATCATGCATTCATTTCCCTGTGTCTGCATACAAAGCCATGGCAAGCCAACGCTCAAAAAGGAAACTCTGATTAAAAGTTATTGTTATGCAAGTAAGAGACTTTGGTACCGCCATTGTTTAATTGATAAGCTAAAGAATAATAATTTTTACCACAACGGAAATAATAAATTCAAGTGACAATGTTCTGAAGGGTTCTTTTATGTTTTCATACTTTAAAGCACGGATTTTAATTGAATTTGTTAACATTTATATATTTCTTCAGTCAGAATTCCAAATTAGCATTTCTAAAAAGGTAGGTTGTGTGTATATATTCATTGCTTTTAACTTTAATCAAGGTTCATCATGTGTCAAAGACATTCATGATTTCGAAATGCTTACATCTATCTCTTACAAGTGGAAATAGCACAAAATATTTTGTTATATACATATAATTAATCTATATCATTACCAACATTGGTATGGGCAGTAGCAATTTCACACATTTGTGGTCTATAAATTGATAGACCACAGGAGTTGATAATCTAAACACTAAGACCATGTATTTGATCTGAATCACTAATAAATTTTTTAAAAGTATTCCAAATTTTGAAGCCCTTTACTTGGTACCTAAGTATTTAATAATAATAACTATATATATATAAATTATATATAAATTATATATAGATTATA